CATCAAAGTCCTCGTTTAGGTCAGGAATAAGGTTATGTTTAGGGCTGGAATACAGGGCTGGAACGTCTATTACTGCAGGAGTGTCATTGCACTGGATTTCAGCCATAACCCGCCACGTACCATAAGAACGCCGAAGGTCTCCTTTCGCGTACCTCAGGAACGCCGTGGGACGTGACAAAACGTCGGCATGTTATGCCTCGGGAGTGAGAACGGGCTGAAATCACACAAGCATTAAAAAAAGAGCCGAACCGAACAGCAAAGAACAAATTTTAAACTGCATCTTTAGGGACTTTTTTTTTTTTTACCATCAGCCTGTCACAAAAACACTGTTTATTTCTGAATGTGTTTCCTTATAACGAGCAGATTTTCAGTTGTGATTTGTGCACAGTTTGGCCTAAAAGCGACATTAAAACAGTCTTTAAATTTTACTTTACCCGTAGACACCCTGTTCTCATGTTTCCCATTATACAGCGATTCTGCCACAACAGGCCATTGTCCAAGTTCATTCTCTTTCATATTGCCTATTTAATTCTTGTTTGTCTGTTTTATTGACATTGTGACAGACTGGCTGGCGCTCATGGATTAAATTGCTATGTGGACCTTCTGTGAGAGATTAAACTGAAATATTTAATGAGGAATTTTTCATTATTTTATGTTGAATTTTACAGCAACGATGGGCCAGGAAATACGGAGGTGTCCCAGGTGGTGGAAAGCTTGTTGAACAAGCCTGGCTTTGGGACACGCTGCATGAAAGGAGACCCTATACCGTAAGTAGGCTGGGTATACACGAGTCGCAAATTAAGAATCCGGCCAAACATCAAAACCAAATGATACTGACAGAGTCTGAATCTTTGCAAGCTGTGTATGTTTGGCGAGTTGTTATGCATGCGTGTATGAGCCTGTTTCCGACAAATCCAGCAGCAGGCATGGAGCTAGGAAAAAAAAGTGCTTGGCAGGATTTTGAAAACCAATTTGTAAAAACAAATTTGATCAATAAATAATGAGCTTTCTCCGCAGTCTTGATCAGGATAAGCTGAATAATGAATACCTGTTTAAACCTATGAGATGGAAACATTAAAGCGTTCGGAGTCCTCGGAAGTTCTTGTTTACGGCAGCCGCTCTGAATGGCCTGTTGTGCATGCATTATTAAAACACAAACTGTAATCTTTTAATTAATGGTTATTTTCCAGGAGTCTTAAAAATACAAAGCTGTATTAAAACGATGATGAAGCTTTGCTACTGTTATGATTTATCCCCCAAACACCACCAGTGTTTAAGAAAAAGTGGAAATAAGGCATACAGTGATGGATGTAGGTGACAGGGGTGATCGGTTGCCGGTGAAATATTCATGTTCATTTTCCTGCAGGAATCTACCTTGTTCCTCCACGGGGTCTGATTGGTTCACTCCCTCCGTGGATCAGTCAGTCGCTGACATCTTTCTGAATGGAAACTGGAGCATGTCTAACCCCTCCCCCGGCTGCGAGTGCAGCACTCCTAAACGGACAATGATGTTGCCCGACTGCCCGCCCGGTGCGGGCGGCCTTCCTCCGCCACAGGTTAGTGTCCAACTCCAGAAAACGTGTCTGTCTGTGGTGCAGTGGGTGGATCGGTCCGTACTGTATGTTATAGATTTATGAGATCGATCATGTGCAACAGTGAATGTGTCAGTATCTCTCTGAGGTCTGTTGAGCGAGACATGGAGTCGCTGCTTATTCAGGGGCCACTGTACCCAGCTGGATGTGTAGCGTTCTTTCCCCCTTTTTGGTAAAATGCATACATTTACTGAATGTGTGTCATGGAGGGATAAACTGCAGTAAGAGAGCGGAGTGGTCTAAATGTAAAAAAATAAAAAATAACTCAGTGACACAACAGTACAATAAAAATGCTTATCATGGAAGCTTTTGGCTTGCAGTCTGAAAGTCCCAGTCAGCATCATTTTGATTTGAGAACGTAAAGGTACTTACTAACAAGGAATTTGCATTGCATTGCAAAATGTAAATCAGCCTTTTGTGCTGCTTCCCTTTTTGTGAACTAGCGAGCATGCATGAAAATGGGGCCAAAATTGATTCTACTGAAAATATACCGACTTGGCCATTGCAAGTGATTCAGCTTGTTCCACACACCTGTTAAAATTCTCTTTAAATAAACCCATAATGTGTCCTTTCAGATATACCCCAACTTTGCTACCTTGTAGAGTCCCTTAGGACATTTCATAGCATGCAGTTCCCGAATAGAATCTGCAAAGGACCTCACCTTTTCTGCTCAAACCCCAAAGTCCTGAGCACTTTGACTCTACACGTCAATCCGGTCGTTAAGTGATGACGTGACGTGGCCTTCAGACAACAATTCTGACGGCTAAAGAACCAAATGGGACAGGCAAAAAAAAAAAAAAAAAAGTGATGACGTGACGAATCCTACTTCCGGGCCTAAAGTAGTCTGTGTTTAATATGGCTTTTGTGTTGTTAACATGTTTAATATTTTGTATTTACTTCTATTTAATCTCAAAAAGATCCTAAAACAGTCAGTGATCACTGTTGACCTCCCTCGGCTTTTATTACCGCTAATCATTTATTTAAGCTCAGTTTTTAAAACCTTAGGATGTAACTACAGCCCAGCCCGTGCAGCAGTATATAAATGACTAACCTCGTATTGTGGATGGATTATCTCAGTTGTTCTCCTGGCTGAAGTTTGGTCCTTTTACAGCATCCTGCCATGCGATTACATTTGTTCCTGACCACCGAGAACACTCACGTTAACTTTTATCGAGTGGAAAAAAGTTAGCTTGTTTATATTATGCTAACATAGCTGTGTCGCTAGCGGTCACGTAGCACATCATTATATAGCAGCTAGCCAAACTTCAGTAACCCTACAAACGTCACTGCTGTTTAGTTTTCTGTCTTCATTTATGTTGGAAGTGATAACAGAGCTGTACGTTTGAATTTGTTTCCAAAACCCCGCAGTCAGGACATGCTATATTGTATTTAGATAGAAGCTAGCGAGCTAACTTCCTGTTAACTTCTAACTCCGTTAAATGTCATAAATTCCATTTTCATGGATGCCTGGATGTTAAACTCAATTGTTACACCTGGTAGAGCAGAACGCTGATCATTTTATTAAAGATGAAAGACTTTAGACAGTTTTTCAACTCTCAGTAATGCCATAGTGATCGTTTGATATATGGACCTGCAGCGGAGTTTAGGCCCAGACATGGCTAGTGACGTCAGACATTACGACCGGATAGCAATACTCTATGGACCATAACTTTAACACTACACATGGCAGCTGGGGCAAATGTTGCATGGACCTGACCTGAAGGGGTTTGATCCAGGCTGGGATCGATTGACAAGTTAGAGACACAGCATCATTGTCTACCAGCTGCCACCTGCTGACTGAACCAATCACGGCACAGAGTGAAAGCAATGTCTCATTTGGAGCTAAATGATTTGCACTGCTGTCTCCCAATGATAATGAGAAATCTAAGCTTGACAGAGAATGGCTGGAGAAGCTGTCACTGCACTCCAATGTCATTTTATTAGAGATGGCTTTGTCTGTTTGCTCAGGCTTTGTGGCATGTGCCTGCATTTTAAGAGATTAGAATTTGAATGGCTCATGGCTAACCCTGGCTAAATCTGCCAATATTTTCTTCCTCTTGGAGACTTATGACGGTTGAGAATTTGTTTGTAGTAGTTTACCCTAGATAGAGGGTGGAAATGAGCAGGGGAGTGTTGATTGCTAATGCCTGAGGTTTGGCTTTGAAGTATTACAATTACAGAAGCTAATTCACAGTTTTACATTTGGATCTTTATTTCTAGACGTGGAGGTCTGTGCTGATTAGTCCTGCAAGGCTGAGTGTCTGCATATTGTTATTATTATTTTAATTTCTCCCGGTTTTGCATGGGCTTGTGTTAGCCCAGTGACAATGACATGCTACTTCTGGATGCTGGATAATACTTTGGTGAGTGGGCAGCCCAGTAATTACTGTTTTTCCCCTGAAAGTGTGAAGGTAAGCCAGCAGATGCCAACTTCCCATGGCATCCACGTTGATCGTGACATCATATTTTTTTATTCTACAATTTTCAAACACTGTTGATCAAAATGTCTTTAACGCAAACACCAGAAATAACTCATGTTGGTGAGCTAGCTCAGGTAGCCTCACAGGTTTCTTCCTGTTAAAAGGGAGTTTTTCCTTCCCGCTGTCACCAAAGCACTTGTTTTGATAGATTATTTGATTGTTGGGGTTTTCTCTGTTTTCTTTGTGTGATAATGGAGTCTTTACCACGCAATATAAAACACTTAGGGAAGTTTTGTTGTGATTCGTTGCTATATAAATAACATTTAGTTGAATTGAAGTGAACTGAGAGAAACAAAACAGTAAGTTTACTCAGTGAGGTTTAAGGTGTCAACTTCTGTGGGTTAGGTTTTAAACAGCAATTGCAATATCAGTTTTTCAAAGCACTTATAGCCTTGGTTCAGTGAGGAGAAAAATTGCAATACTAATTGAGGCACATGAACTGAAATGGCTTAATTTGATAATTGCTGTGACATTTCCTCTTAAACCTTTGATGCATTTGGAGATGTCATATTGGAAGTGCTAAGAGAAAAAAGTAAAAAAAAAAGGGTAAAACCGCAAAGTCGATAACCTCCAACAAGCACGACATTAAATGATATTCTCTAAAACTACTGGGCTCATTTGCCGCTCATTTATTCCCCTACCTTATTCCTTTCACTCCCCCTATATACAGCACCACTCTGCAATCAGCGCACTTTCACACTCTGCATTGATCTGTAGTTCTTTGTTGAACTTGTGAGTCTCGCCGTGTGCTCCTTTCCACGACACGGCCCTCCAGGGCCATTTAAAAGGAGCACCTGTCCACGAATCATGCTAAAGGATGATCGCTGAGACAGTAAAACAAGAGTAGTGCCCTTTGTGTAACCTTTTCCCATCCCTGATGTTCTGTCTTAGCTCATGACAGCACTGTCAGGAGTCCCCCATTTGTTGAGGCGTTATTCTTGTCTTTGTATCCTCCCGATAGCCCCGCTAAGCTATGAAGGGCTTTCTTTCCCAAGCCTAATTTTTCATTTTTGCTCTTTTTCCCTTATCTCCATGTGCTTCTCAATTTTCAAACAACCCCTGTCCTTTTTCTTGCTCCTACTTTGGTGCTCAACTGAATTTCTACTTTATCGTGTCGTACTGTAAGTGGCTGGTCGTTTTATTACACTTAGCCACAGTAAAAAGACCATTTGTGAAGGCCAGTTTTGGCCTGCATCTTGTTAAATCCACTTGCGTCATTTCTCATTTATTTATAAAATCTAATTTGTTCCAATCCAGGTCCTGTAAATGGACTTTACTTTTTCCACGGAAACAACCTTGAGGATTTTAAGTTTTTATTGTACAATCTGCCACTAAAATTATTTTAAAGTTAGGATGAGAATAGAGCAGAAGGGGAAGAAGTAAAGATAGTGGAGAATCGGAGAACGATAGAAAAGAGAAACCCATTAGATGTGCATCCCTCTAGCACAGTAGCACCACCAATGGCAAAAATGACACAAAGGCCTGTAATTTCCAGATGTCCAAATTGTACGACTATACTTATCCGGTCGTTAAGTCTGACGTCACTAGCCGTGTCTGGGCCTAAACTCCGCTGCAGG